CCCCCCCCCCCCCACACACACACAAGACTCACCCGATAAAAAGCCCGGCACCCTTCATGTCACGCAGTCGATTTACTCACTCACTCACTGACTATTCACTTGTTCCCCTTGTCTGAGTTCTTGATCGTCTGGAGGTAATCCTCTACCAGCCGGACAGGCACACGCGTCTTTGCCTTCTTGGCTGCCTGCCGGTCCTGCAGACACACAAACAAAGGGGTTCAGATGCCATCGATGGCATCCATGTGTGGCGGGCAGGCTGACCTTGGTGAGTTGCTGTGCTATTCTCTTGCTGTCGAGCCGGCGGCCGGCGAGTTCCTCTATCTGCTTCTTCTCCTCATCAGCCAGCTCCTCAGTCGACTCCCCAGCCTGTGTGTCGTGTGGACAGCAAACACACCCACAACCTCAAGCACACCACACCCACCAGAGGACAGGCAGCCTCCCCGGCTGACCTTGATGGTAGGTTCGCTAAAGCAGAATAGGATGTCGCTCTCGGGCAGCACCATCGTGCCATCGCCCTGCCCGCCGGCGCCGGCCGTGGGGGATGCTGTCGGCGTCGTGCCCGCGCCCCTGAGGGGGACAAACTCATACGGGTCCAACAATGCTACGCGGTAATGCATCTGAACACACACACAGACGCCCTTTCGTGAATCGGCATGGTGTGTGTATGTGTGCTGTCACCTGTTCAGTTGCTGCAGCACTAACGGGAGGCTGTGTCTGTGTCTGTGTCTGCGCAGCCGTCTTCCTGCCCGCCTGGCTGAGCACCACCGCGGGCCGCCAGGCCACCTTGCCGTCACTCACCGTCTTGACGTACGCCAGGCCGTTCGCAGGCGCCGTCTCGCCCGCCCTGTACTCGATGACCCTCTTGCCGGCCCTGCCCGCACCGGCCTCGAGCTTCCACACGGATTGTGCGAGGGGGTATCGCAGCACGACCTCGCCCGGCGTGGCTTCCTCCCCGTTGGACAGGGTGTTGCTGAGGGTGAAGTCGTCGAGTCGGGGGGAGGCCGGCTGGGCTCTGGCGGCCTTCTTGCTGCTGGTGGGCTGGGCACCGGCGCCACCCTGGCGCTCCTGAGGATAGAAGTGGGTGGACACCACTCGAGAGGGGGCGGTCATGCCATGTACGTGTGATTGTGAGTGTGTTTGTACCTGTATTGTGAACTTGAAGACTGTCTCGCTGCCGGGTGTGAACCCCTCGTCTGCGTAGTCGAGGAACGTCAGGTGGTCCTCCAACGTCAGCCGACCGCCGACGACGTCAAGCAAAACCTGCAAACATATCATAGCGGCGTGTGGCTGGGTCACCTTTCTTGACGTCGACGCATGCCGGCTCCCGCCCCCCATCGCTCACTCATTCACTTACCTCATGTGATTCGTCCACCACTGCGTGTTGGTAGAGGAATTTCCCCTTGCTGTCAGAGACCTTGGGGGCGAGCTCCCGACACGCTTGCATCACCTGCACGAGCCGAGCCACACAAGATGGCATAGCCAGTAATCGGAGGCAGGCAGGCAGACAGACAGGAAAGAAGGAGATCGTGCAGGCGGGAGTGCGCTGGCTGACCTTTGATTTGAACTCGCCGACGGTGTCCGAGAGGTACGCCCGCACCTTGTGGTCCTCGGGGCTGCACGCACGCACCCATAAACATGACAAGCAAGCATACAGCCCACACGGCTGTCCACTCATGATGGCTGCAGCAGCACGGACACCCACTTGGCTTTGCCGAGCAGTGTGGCCTTGGCGCCCTTGTACACTTTTGTGGCACGGGTGGCGGAGACCCGGCCGCGGCCCGGCACGTGCGCGGGGCGGAACGACACAGTCAACTCAACCTTCTTCAGCTTTTTCTCCTTCCTGACACAGATTGACCACATACATTGCACACATTGCTCGAGCCTGAAGTGGGCCGCGGCGCTCTCCGGCTGTCCATTACTTTTGCTCCTGTTTCTGTTGTCTGGCCTCCTTCTGCGCCGCTGTCTGGCCAGTCGCCCTCTGCCACGCGGTCTCTTTGGCCTCTGCCAACACACACATCCATATGTAAGGCATCGACAGGCCTCCTTCCCGCCGCCTCAAGGCTGTCTGTCAATCCCTGGTTGCCTGACCCCGTTCTTTTTGTTCGGCGGACTTGGTGACGCCGGCGCCCAATATGTCCGTGACTTCGCTGTCTTCTTCCTCGATGGTGTGGTCGATGGTGACTTCACACGACAAGGGGAAGTTGGGGAGGAAGGTGCGGTCCACAGATGACGTCAGCTGACGCAGCGGCTGCATCAAGGGGCGAGGGGGCGGCAACACACCATAACATGGGATAAGACAGTGGTCGGTGCGGCCCTTTGTGTGTGTGGCTGACTTCGCTGAGGAATGCCGAGCCTGTGAAGAGACCCACGAACGAGAGCTTGTCAATCGCCACCTCATCCGATCTGACAGACACATCAAGATTGCGCTTCTCGTTGACCACCTTGTCCCATTCCCCATTCCCTTTGTTTCTGACGTACGTGAGTGTAAACGACGCATTGGAGGCCGCCATGGTCGGCGCATTGGGAGCCCTCGGCATGTTCCCGCCCTCGCCGGTCACAAAGATGCCGCTCATACCCACCTGCGACCCACACATAAGGGGAAAAATCGCCAACGCCCTTCTTCCCCCTGGCCCGTTGTTCCCCTCTTCCAATGCACCTCGAGTGTGATTTTCTTGGTGACGCCCTTTGGGAGTGCGATGGTAATGAGGAGGTCCTTGGAGGCACCGGGGAAGGGGTCCGATATGGTCAGCTCCACCAGCGACTTGCACATGCCAAAGTCGATCCCGACGCTACCCGTGTCGCCAGCTCGACTCCCGATGTACTTGCACACAGCCGGGCTGACGTCGATCGGGGCCGACCCGTCGCGAGGCGCCAGCTTGGCGGACACCACACGCGGCACCAGACCAGTGTGCTGAGAGACAGAGAGACAGAGAGACAGAGAGACAGAGAGACAGAGGGAGAGACCGTGTCGCGCTGGTGGGTGTCATGAAAGTGTGGGTGTGTTGTGTGTGTTGTGTGTGTGCGTGTACCTCGAAAATGGCAGCGGCGATCTGGTGGGCAGCGAGCTTGTCGACGTAGACGAGGCAGCGGAGCAGCACCGCCTGCACGATGGACGTCACGGCTGTCAGCGTGATGGCGTTGGGGATCTTGTCCTGCACAAACAAAGCCCAACGATTGCGAGTGCATCCATTCCACTTGTGTGTGGTTGTCCATCTCTCACCCTTGCAGCGGATTTGGGCAGTGTGAATGGGGTCTTCTGGATGCCGACCTTGTAGGCCGATGCGCCGGGCTCGTCCGTGAGGTGGAAGCAGTGGGTGGAGGCGTCATCCTTGCGGGCGGGGTCGTGATACCCAAACAGGTCAAACAGCAACTCCGCCTTCTGCGACACAGTGCCGCTGCAAAACCACAGAACACACACACACACACACACACACACATTTTGACGACTTGGGCTTCTCGTTTCTCTGTGGTCAGCCAGTACCGTGCTGTAGTGATGATGGCAGCGATGAACTCTCGCAAACAGATTGTGTGTCGGTACAGCCGGGGGTCGGTATAGATGTTTTGTGACTGCTGCTGGGATGGGGGGGTGACGATCCTGCCGAAGAGGCGGATGATCTCGTTGGTGTAGGCGCCCCAGGAGGGGACGGAGTTGAAGAGCAAATTCACCAGCTGAGCTCGGTTGATGCCCTCCTGCACCGTGCACATACGGACAAAACACAAGGACGAATGCACGGAGACACACGGGGGAGGGGGGCATTCATCCATGCATTGCTGCGTCGCTCTACCTGTGCCACAGGCTTCACAATGGCCAGCTGTTCGGCGCCGGTGGCCGAGTAAGCCGGGGAATCGCTCAGCAACGACCTGACAGACAGACAGACAGACGGACCGGATGTGTTTGTCCGCATGTGGGTGTGTGTATATCGTATTCGATAAGTACTGACCAGTAAGAGCTGCTTCCCACGATGGGGTTTGGGACGATGGGAGGCATGAATGCGTCAATCATGGCGGGCGATATCTGCATCGCCCGCTGCACACGCTGCCGCACCACGTCAAAGAACTGCACGGAACACACATACGCACACGGGCAGCAGGGCCACCCACCAGCCATGCGATGAAGATCTTCCGCCATATGTGTGTTGGTTGGGGCTTGCTGACCTTCTTGGCCTGCTGTCCTGTGAAGGAGAGGTCCATCTGGAGCCTGGGCGTCATCTGCGTGAGGTCCATCTCCACCCACAGAGGATGGAACGGGCTCATGTCACCCCACTGACACACAAAGACGACAGCCACGGATGAGATGAAGACCGCTGACTGCTGTTGCCACACATACATACCTGTCCTTTGCCCAGGTCCATCGGCTCCCCCACCGGCTCCATCATCGGCGCAGGCCTCACTGGCGCTGCTGCAGCTGGGGTAAACTCCCCCGCACCACCGACAGCAGCAGCGCCACCTGGCGTCGCACCCGCCGTCCCCTGCCCCAAAGGGGCCCGCCCCTCCACCGACCGTGGCTGTTGCGCAGCCTGTGGCTGGCCCGCCAAAGCTGCGTCCGCGACTGCCGGCTGCTGCTGTGGCGGTGCCGGCTGCGCCACTGTCCGCTGGATGGGCTGCTGCAGCTGGTATTCCTCGAGCTTCTTGTCATTTCGTGGGAGGTAGAGGAAATACGAGAGGGTGAGTGTTGCCTTGTTTGTGCGGCCCTGCTGCAGGGGCGGGAATTTGTAGTTGAAGAGCCAGGCCGTCGACACGGGGTTGGTGGGCAGCTGCACGCCGGTGCGGCCGTTGACGTTGAGGAGCCCCAGGCGGTCGATATTCATGGCGTCGCCCACGCCCCCTCCCCGCCGGTCGTGGTCCTTGGCCTCCACCTGGAATGAGTAGGGGGTGCTGGTGCTGCTGGTGATTGGAAAGTGCAGGACGTTGCCACTGGACCACACATACTGCATCGTACGACACGTGCATGACACACACGACAGACACAGCAGGCACGAATGAGTGGATTCTGGCTGGGTGGGTTTGGAGGGCCATGTATGCCGCTTCTCACCTTGTCGAAGCCACGGGTATCTGCGGGCGCTGTGGACTCTATGCGCTTATTGAAGGTGACGGCCACCAGCGGACGCGCCTTTTCCTGGGACGTCGCGAAATTGGCGATCTCATCAACCCTATACATGCAGGAACCACCAACCGCCCGTCATTCCAACACGCACCAAGACATCACAAAGACGTGTCTGTCTGACCTGACGATGAGGTATCCTATGGCGTCTGGCGGCGGCTCCCTCATGTCTGCCGAGAGATGCAGCGCGTGCAGCTTGAGCAGGGGGTAAACGAGTGTCTGGAGGTCGAACACGCTCACGCCCGGGTACTTGAGGCTCGTGATCTGTGGCTTGCCCTTGCCGTCCCTGGTCCGGGTGTCAATGATGAAGCTGGGCGCGACGGCGAGGCCAGTGGAGTCTTTGGCGGTCTTGCTGGTGTCGAAGGATGCGTGGTACTCGTAGTAGGGGAGGACCATCTCCTGCAGCAGGCGATTCTGCTCCCGGTGGAAGTGCAGCTGACGTGTTTGCTCCTGCGACAAAGACATAGACACAAGGACAGAGATGGTGGATGCCTCGTCGATCCGGGTTTGTGAGTAAGTGCGACAGTGTTGGCTGACCGCGATGTACGCCGACTGGAGTCGGGCGATGTAGCTGAAGTGCACCGTGTTGTCGAACAAGACAAACTCACCCTGATTAATCTGAAGGAATGGATGGATAAATCACAGGACAGGCAGATGGAGAGCCGTTGCCTGCCGATGCCTGTATGTTTCGTACCCATTGCTTCAGCAGTGCGGGGTCTCGCAGACCCGTCATGATGTCCTTCAGGCTGTTGTGAAACTGCACACACGTCGTCTGCATTCACACACACAGAGAGAGAGAAAGGGAGAGAGAGAGAATAACCCGCCACACGTCATCTGCCATCTCTCCTCTCCCTCCCTGTGTCTGTCGCTCGCCCACCTCAGCGTTGAGGTCAGTGAAGGCGTGTGAGATGACCGAGTACGCCAGGCTAATCAGCACACGCCGCCCGCGGCTCAGCGTCTCCATGGGCATCGCCGACACCACCTGTAACGAAACAACATGTACACAGGGTTGTGCTCCTTTGCTGGCTGGCTGTCGATGTGTGTGGATATCGCCCACTCACGGCTGTCGGTGTGCCGTCAGCTGGTTGCTGCGGCGGTGGGACGGCAGCTGTTGGCATGCTCGGTGCGAAGAGGGCGCAGAAGCACAGATCCCACAGCCGATACAACGTCTGCATGCCATGCCATGCCATGCCACGCCACGCCATCCACACACAACGGTGTCACGTCGTTTGTGTCACGAACTGCCCACCCACGTGCAGGCAGCACTGACCTGCGATGGCAGCCATCCGGCGAAGAGGCTCATGAAGCAGGGGAAGAAGGCTTCCTCCAGATGGAAACCCATCGTCTTGAGCAACGCTGACTCGCGGGGATGGATCAACTGCACCAACACACCACACCACACCACACGCCATTCTTGACCGTGCATTCATGTCCGCACCCACCCACCCACCCTGACCTGGATGGCACAGTCTAGGAAGAGTCCGTCTCTGGCGGCGGCAGGGATGGTGGCGGTGAGCGGCCTCCGTTTCCCGTCGCTGAAGTCCGTCTTGTACTCCTCCTCGGGCGTGTTGGCACTGAAGTAGTCCACAAACGGACCCTCGGCATTCGACGACGTCAACCTGACACATTGTGTGGTGGAAGCGGACGGAGCACACAAGCACACGGATGCCAAGGGTTGGTGTAAGTGAAGTAAGTCGGCGTGTCGGCCCTGTCACTCACTTTTTGCCAGCGGCGATGGCATAGAGGAGGAAGAAGACATCCTCCTCAGACAAGGTCAGACCTGTAGGTAAAGGACGACGCACACTGCAATCAATGCATTGCCCGACGTGTGTCCTGCGTGGCCCCTCCCGCCCCGCCTTGCTGACCTCCATGGTCCAGCATGAGGTAGTACGCAATGAGTGCGAGGCCCTTGCAGTAGTTGACGGGGTTGCCTATGGCGTGGGCCTCCGTGTGGGCCGAACGGGGGTCGGTCGGCGGCAACCGATACGTCAACTCGCAGTATCGCGGTGTGGACGAAAACATCACCAAACCCTCAAGCACCTCCCGCAGGCTCACCCAGAACTGTGCCTGCTTGGCCTGGCCGGCGGTGCTGAAGTCGGTGGTGTATACGGGCTGCATGTCGCCGATGTCCTCGGCGATCTGGCTGTACACGGCGCTGCTGCGGTCCTGGTACTTCCCGCGCAGGAACGCGTAGGGTGCATCAGCCACCCGAATCTGCTGCAGGTACTGCGTGCAGTCATTGCGGATCTTCTGGGCACCTGCATGACGCACACACAGACACATAGACGGGCAGACGGACACATGCACAAGGCCAGCGAGTCTGTGTGTGTGTGTGTGTGTGTGTTTGTATGTGTACCTGACAGCTGGAGCCAGAGGTAGGGCCGCAGCAGTGGCGGGATGCCGTTGCGGCACATGTCCCAGACCTGACGCTTGATGCCCTCTGCGCTCTCTGCAATGACAACATGAACGCAAGCACCACACAGGAGGTCGGCCCGCTCCCTTGTGTCTTTCTGTAAGTGCGCGTGTGTGTGTCGCCTTTGAGGCGAACGTACCCGGATCGCTGCTGTCGCCTGTTAGTCTGTGGAAGGGGATCTCGTGCGGCACTCCGGGGGCATGCCTGGCGATGGGCACATGGATCTCATGCTCAACGCCGTCCTTGTGGTGCTGAATGACACACAACACATACGCGAGCCCATCCATCCATCCAATGGATGTGTGTGATCTGTCTGATCTACCCACTGACCGTATCGTCCATCCAGGTGTAGTAGTTGACGTATCTGGGCTCTGGGTCCTGTGTGCTGGTCCACTCCCACTTCATCGCAGCCTTGGCTTTGGTTGGTTTGGCGAATGACCTGCACACACAGGCACGCACCAAACCGCCACCCACGTTGGCCTCAGCTGTTGTCTGTTTGGTCTGTTGGCATCTCGAGTGACTGACCTGATGCCAGTGTTGCGCCACTCGCCGGTGGTGCGGTCGCCCTCCCAGATCTCGACGTAGGGCTTCATCTCGCTCGACGGGGCGTTGCGCAACTCCTTCAACCTACACGCAGGCACAACAAACAGCCAGCCACCAACCACCCATACACACACAGACAGATGTCCTCCGATCTCCCTGCAACGTCTTTGTACCTGATGGTGAATTTGCCCGAGTGTGGGTTGGTGAGCTTCCAGGAGGCCTCGAGGTAGATGATGGCCGTCCCAGTGGCCTTAGCCGTTGCCTTGGGGTTTTCCATCTCCAGCTCGCCGTCCTTGTCGAGAATAATCTGGCCCGTTCGCGTGTCCTTCTTCGGCACTAGATCAGGAACTCTGCCGAGCGGCGTCTCGGCCCTCAGTGGGTAGGGACGTGGCATCCTGCTGGCCTCAGCGACGTTGAGCAACATCTCGCCCAGGAACTGAGGCGTCTCGTCATCCTTGCCATCCGTGCCATCCTTGCCGCTCCACACCTGTCACATGTGTTTCGGTGATTTTATGTGACACACACACACACACACACAGGAGTGTTTGTGTTGTGTTGTGTTGTGTTGTGCTATGTTGTGTGTGGTGGTGATGTGGCCGATGGATGGATGGATGGATGTACCTACCTCCAGCAGGTAGTGCGGGGCGATCGACTTCTCTCCGCCTTCTTTGATGGCCGCATTGACCTTGCTCTCCCAGTTCTCGTCCAAGTCACGCTGATCCGACGACTGCACACACACAGATGGGTGCCAGCGGTGGACAGATGGACATGACAAGCACATGAGGTGTGTGTTGGGTGCGGCCACACCTTTGATGCGAATGTCCAGTAGGTCTGCAGTGCCTCCCACTGCTTCTCCCCGGGAGACTTCTCCTGTTTCTCGGGGTCCTTCCCGATGCTCATGATCCACTGCTGCCACTGCTTCTTGGCACGCTGCCCCCATATGCCGCCCAGAGGCTCGCACATCTGGTACCTGCACCACACACACACACACACACATACACAGGCGTCCGTCAGTCCACCGAGGACACTACTCCCTCCTGTGTATTTGAGCGTGTGTGTGAGTGTGTGGTAGCCGCTCACTTGTTGTACTGCCGTCTTTCGAAGGCCCATTTCTCCGGCGGCCTCACGTGTGCCAGGGTGCCCTCGGCGCCCTCCACTGATGGCGTGGTCGACACCTCGCTCGCCGCACCGCCCTGAGTCGACACTGCACACACACGCAGGCGGCAGACGGACGGGCAGATGCGTGTGGTGCGCGTGGCTAAGTGAGAGAGAGTGGTGACCGACCTTGATCGGATGACGGCTCGTGCGATGATGTGTCCTTGAGGGCCAGCAACCTGACGCACATACGTGTGCAGGTAAGTGGCCGAGGCGAAGCCATTTGGCTGCATGTGTGCGTGTGTGTGAGTGTACTCACTTGCATGAGTTGAGGTTGGGGTCGTAGCATCCCAGCCGGATGGGGGCACCCGCCTCGTCAAACACACGACGGCTGTGATCCATCTCAAAATCCTGCACACACAGTGTAGCAGACGCATGACAGACGGATGGATGGGGGCAGATATGCCTTGTCTCCTACTCGGTATGCGATGGGGGATGGGAGGTCGTGCAGAAGCAGGTGGCGGCTGGTGGGGGCGTACCGTACCATGAAGCACACCTCACCGCTGTAGCGGCTGTCCTCAAACACCTGCACACGGCAGCGAGCCAGGCATGTCATGTGTGTCTGTGTGTCTTGTGTTCCGTCATTTGCCATTCGGCGAGTGCTGTCTGTCCCTCCCACCCAGGCGCCCACCCGTATGGTGGTGCCCTCCTTGTGGCCCCTTGGGGGCGGGAACTTGATGGGCTCATCCGCGTCTATGTTGTGGTTGGCGATAGCCTGGTACAGCTGGGGGTCCTTGACGGTCTTGTCATGCTTCAGCACAAACGCACTCATGGCCGCGTAGCTCTCGAAGATTGTCGCCCTCTTGACGCCGGGCACCGTCACCCGGTACTTCTGCACTGGCTGATATATGGGATGGACGGAATGGACAGAGAGAAACGGACAACGGAATGTCGTCGATACCTGCACTGTGTGTGTGTGGTCAGGTGTCACCTGCAGGGCTTTCCACACGACTTGGAACGGTTTCTTCGCGTCCATGAGCTCGTGGGTGGAGATGGTGACAGTGCCGATGACGGTGTCCTTCTGCACGGCGCCCCAGTTGGCGGGCGTCAGCACCTTGACCACCAGCACCGGCACGTCGTCAGGCACCGAGATGAGCCCAGTGCGAAACATGAAACCGCCAGACGCCTGACAGCCCCAACAACACGCCATTGTGCGTCGTGCCCTTCTTTCCGCCAGCTGGCCAACCCAGGCGGACTTACCTTGAGTTGTGTGTGGTCAGCCCATGAGGCGCGGTAGAACTGCTGGTGTCCGACGGCGTCTCTCCTCTGCACGAGCAGCCCGGCCACGTTGTCGATGACGTTGGTGGGCTTGACGTCGTAGTCCTTGATCAGCGGCGGCACGTCCTCGAGGGTCGCTGCCGTCTGCAGGCGAGACCACGTCACCCTGTGCAACTGACCCGCAAACCGACGCCTGGTGGACAGACACGATACACATCAACACCACAACACGAAGACGCTTGTCTGTGATCGATACCTGTCGGCTTTGGCCTGTTCGGTTGTCCTTCCTGGCGCCGCTTGGAAGTTGACCTGGTTGGCGAACTTGTCGACCATCTCCCTGGGCGGTGGGCTGGGCCGGGAGACCTCCCCGATGGTGATCTTGGGCGGAGTGAACTGCAGCAGGGTCTCGACGATGTACTTGCGCACCGCCTCCCGGGCCTGCATCTGGAGGGTGGGCTGCTGCTCGGCCACGATGGACTCGTAGAGCTGCTGGGGCAGGTTGCCGTACTGGAAGGTGGCGTAGAGGTCGAGGGTGCCGGCGGCCCGGCCACTCAACTGACGCTCGCTGTCCTCAAACATCCTGAAGGAATGAACGACACACATGGGTACACCCATGATGTGTGTGTGTGTGTTGTTCATGGCCTTGGCGTGTTGAAAACGCACCGACCTGTTGAGTTTGGTGGATGGCTGCTGCACCCGGATGTTGGCCTCAACGAGCACCAGGTCAAGCTTGCCCTTCTGCGGGGCGGCGCGTTGGATGTCCACCCCGGCGGCGTATCTGGCGAGCTGGACATTTCGGCGCCGCTCCTCGTCATCGAGCACCTTCTGGTACGCCTGGCCGACCTTGTAGGCGTGCTCACGCACCCCGTTGCGCACTATCGTCACCCAATCCAACATCTCCTGCACGCCACACAGCACAGCACAGCACAGCACACTGAGGTCTTTCTTGCTCTCTCTCTGTTTGTGTGTGTGTGTATGTGTCAAGACATTGGCACCTTCTCTGATTGGCATCTGACGGTGACTGTCCACTCGTACTGCGAGAAGGCCGGGTTGGCGTCGATCGGCAGGATGCCGCCATACGACCGCTCGGGCACCGTCAAACCTGCAGCCGACGCAGGTGTCTTTGTCTTTGTCTCGGTGAGTGTGGTGTGGTGTGGTGTGGGGTGGTGTGTTGCGAGCCGACCGTTGTGTGTTTTGACGACGCCGCAGTCGTAGATGGAGCATCCCGCCTGGTGTGGCGACTTGAGCAGTGCCAGCGGCACGCCGGCGAGAATCCGCTGGTCCTTGAACGCCATGATCGACGCTGCACACGCACATCCATCCAGCCATCCAGGCAGCACAGCACCAACACGCACGCACGCACGCCCCATGTGTGTGTGGGTGTGGTTTGTGTGGTTTGTGTGGTTGTGTGGGTCACTCTTCGCTGACCGGGCAGCTTCACTTGTTCGAACGTTCTTCGCTCATTCTCTTCTTTGGACCACTGGAGAGCCGCCGTGTTATTCCGGTAAACCGCCAAAACCGTCGCGGGCACATAACGCACCCTGCACAAGCAACACAAACCATGCACACGTCACACATCAGCAAGCGTCGGCCGGGCCGTGTTGGTGTGCTGCTGTGTTGATTGTGCTGACCTGTGTGTGAGTCTGTCGACGATGTCTCCTGGTTTGAAGCCGTCGGCGATGATGCGCTTCCACACGCCGGGCAGCTTCTTGTCCAGGAACAGCTTCTCGTTGTCGGGCAGACGGAACTGCATGTGCAGACAGACAGACAGACAGACACAGACACCGTGATTGAAACGAGTGTGGTGTGGTGTGGGTGTGTCGACTGACCACATGAGGGACCGGGTCTTTGACGTAGAGAGGTAGCGGGTGGACCTTCTTGGGGTCGTACTCCTTGAGCTTCCACATCCCCGACTTGGGGTCGTACTCCGTCAGTATGCCAGAGGCCTGGTGCTCAGCCCTACACACATGTATGTGTGGTGGACATGGGGGGACGCCCACACACCGGACGGACACAGCCGATCCAGCATTTACTGTGGCCACTCGCTGGCTCTATCGTCGTGTTTGTGCCTGGCTGCCCGCCCCACGTGTGTACGCACCGGTTGCATATCCGCCTGAGTGGACACCCCAACTTGCCCGCCCTCCCTGGCTCGAATGGCGTTTGTTCCCTCAGTTTCCTGTGTTCCTCTTCGGTGAGTTCTCTGGCAGGGCAAGGGTGGCAGAAACGCTGCCTGTACTCCAGCTGCGTCTCCGGATACTTGAACGGCTCCTCCAGCATCAACAACACCTGCACACACACACACACACACACACACAGAGCCATATGAGTGTGTGTGCAGAGGTGGGGTGACTGAGTCGGTGGGTGGGTCACGTACCTTGTCACCGACGAGAATGAGCGGTTCGCCGTTGCGTTGCCTCTCAAGCTGCACGGCGTCGCGGTTGCGGAGGGACACACGCATGTGCAGCTGCACGTCAGCCACCAACTGCTCTTTCTGCACGTCAGGCGCCAACTGCACACACACACAGAAACACAGAGAGAGATCCATCCATCCCGGTAGGCAGGCAGGCAGACAGAAAGATGACTGACCCCTCGTTCCGTTGGTCCGAAGGCGTTGGCGAGATGCTGCCTGGCAGCGAGGTCGGCACTCTTGCCCATCAGCTGGCTCGCCAGACCTGCACACACATACACATACACACACGCACACGCACACGCAATGCCCACACGGGTGCCGTCACCTGGGCCCCACACTCCACACCCAGACAGACAGCCAGACCTGGCTTGAAGAGTGCGTAGGTCTGCCCGCTGTCATGTGCGCTGTTGGGCTCCATTGCCCACGTGTCGAACACCAGCTCGCCCACCTTCGTGGAATCCGTGAAGTTGGGCGCCGTCGCCAGACCAAACTGACCAATGGATGGATGGATGGATGGAACAACACTTCGCCCCTCCCCCCCTCCCCCCCTCTCCCCCCATCTCTCTCACTGCCTGCCCGTCAGTCAGTTTGGGTTACCTACCCGTACAGCGGCCTGCTCGAGATCTGAGGTTGAGGTGTAGCCGGCGTTGACCTTGAATACCGTCAGCTTCACGAACCTCACCCGCTCGAACGGGGTGTTGTCGTAGAGGCTCAGGTAGTACTTGCCATTGTACTCGCACCCCGTGCCGCCGCCGCTTTGCGAAGCCACGCCCGTCACGCAGCTCACGTCACCACTTGTCATATCTGCACACACGAATGGACGACGACACAATCGCAGGCGACAACAAGGCAGCGAGATGGTCATTGGGGCGATTGGGCGGTGGGGGTCGGTGGATGCGCGTGTGCGTACGGATGAAGTACGCCGGGTTTTGGTCTCTGTCTGCAGTTGTGTCGGTGAGTTCGAGCTTCTTGATGAAGAACTCCATCACGCTGCCCTCGCGCTTCTCCACCGAATCCTGCACACACACACACACACACACGCAGGGATGATGACTCGCCAACACAGGCCGGAGGACCGCCATTGTCCTTTTTTCTGCTGCGTATTGCAGTTCTGCCACTGACCAGCAATTTGGGTGGCTGCCCCTCTGCTGGCTCGTCATCGGGGTCGATCATCTTGCTCATGGACGTCACACCCTGACAAACCGATGCACAACAGATGAAGCATGCACCACAACAGATTCCCACACTCCCGCCACACACACGTACCTGCAGTTGGCTGAGTCCGAGTAGGTCTGGCGAGAGGGGCCGGTTGGCGACGGGCTCCACCACCCTGGCCACGTTGCACTTGAGCTTCACCTGGCCCACCTTGCGCACACGCGAGGGGGCCGGGGTGGCCTCACCCGCACCCTCGGGGGCCAGACCCGCCGGAGCCTCCACACTCCCCAACGCAGTCCGCTGAGACTCCTGCACAATGCAGCAAAGGCAGGCAGGCAGGCAGGCAGGGCATGTGAGGGGCCGTGTGGTGGATGGGTGGTTGTCTACCGTGAAGGGATTCTCGCTGTCGACAACGGACACCAAGTTGATCTGTGTGCAGACCAGACGAAAAGGAGCGAGGGAAAGCATCGCATCTTGTCAGTCAACCTCTCTGTGTGTCTGGCTGTAAAGAGTGCGTGCCTGGTCGGCGGGCAGGACGTCTGAAGTGCCGAGCGGCGCGAGGCTGACAGTGCCGGTGCCGACGATGAAGTCGGCGTCTTCTCTCGTCTCGTCGGGGTGCTTGGCCCAGATGTCCAACGTCCCCTCCACCGCTAAACACAGACAGACAGACAGACCCAACACACACAACACACACAAATCAAATGAGAGGACGACCGAGCCGAGCACAGCAGCACGAGGGCAGGCAATTAGGTAGGAAGCTACCCTGCATGAACTTGCGTCTGGCGTCTTGGTAGTTGGGGTAGTTGTCTCTGTGCTTGTGTCCATTCTCGGCGTTGATGGGGATCTCCAGCACGAATCGGCAGCCGTACACCGGGGTGAGGCCCGGCTTGGTGGCCGTACGGTACCGCTGGTAGAGGGTGCTGAAGGTGGCGTACGTCCTCAGCAGAGTGTCGTCCGTCTTGTCTGCACACACACGGATGGATGGATGGATGGATCGACCTGTGTGTAGGGGGCTTGTCTGTGTGTGTGTGTGTGCGCACTGCACCTGTTTGCTTTTTGGAGGTGCTGAAGAGCGAGCCGACGGTGTTGCCCGCCTGGCCCATGGTGCGTGCCATGAAATTGCCGTCGAGCCGCTTGACCTCCTCCAGCAACGCGTGGTTCAGACTTGCAGACTACACCACACACACACACACACACACAGACAGGGACTTGCAGACTGTCGGTAGTCATCCGTCTTCTGCCTACGTCGATCTCGAAGTTCAGCTTGAGCAGCGTCACCCTCTCGGCATCGGTCTGGAACAACTCTGAACCCACCAAAAGACACGCCCACACGCCACACGTACACTGGTGTGACACACGACTCACACACACGAATAACACGCGAGACGCACCCGGTATTGAGAATGGGAGGCCGATCTTGGGCCCGCAGATGGTGAACCAGCTGCCGGACCGGGTCTCCACGGGCCGGGTGATCTTGCGCGCAGCGCCCGACACCACCGACGACGAGACGTCCTGGGCGAACTGGCTGGTCTTCATGAACGACTTGACCCCCAGCTGCATCCTCTTGACAAACTCAGGCTCCTGACACACAGCACAGCACAGCACAGCACACAGAGAGGGGAAGGGGGAGAGAGAGAGTGCCACACACGTGAAGGGCGCAGGGGTGTACACACGCACCTGTGCGCCGAAGACGTTGAAGACGGAGAAGTCTTTGGGTCTGGGTGTGTTGACGATGATGGCCGAGATGCCGTCCATGGGGACGAAGTACCGCATGGCGGCGTTGATGCGCTGCCGGTCGTTCTCGCCGATGCTGTCGGGAATCCAGAGCAGACGCGACAGGTCGTCGGCCAGCATCACCCACGCACGCTCCAAGCCCATCGAGTCGCTGCTACAGTTGTTCTCCGCCTGCATGCACTCACAAACACATCGACACACACATTTGCACGTGGGCATGCATCTCTCTCTCCCTCTCTCTCTCTGTGTGTGTGTGTCGGGGGGGGGGAGGGGGGCTTACGTGTGGTGTCTGGAACCACTCTCTCAGTGTGGGGTGGACGTCGTAGGCCACGGCGAACTCCCGCCCCAGCTTGCCCACCTTCAGACGGTTCTTCACGAAACGCTTGACCTCACCCTCCCCTGACCCCAACGCACCCGGCGCAGAACGTGTCGTACCACCAGGCAGCCCGGCAGAAGACCTGCACACACACACACACACACAGACACACCATCGCGTGTATGCGTGTGCAGACACTCGGCAAATGGACACACACACACACGTACGGAGTCGAGAAGTTGAGCGAGCCGCCCAGGCCGGCGGGTGCGGTGGCAGCCCCTGGTGTGAAGGTGATGGGGCTGAATGTGGAGCTCATCATGGTGCTGGTGGTGGTCATCCCACCGCCCGCCGCCTGGGGGTGGAAGCGCATGTGCATGAGGCGCCGGGTCTCGTTGGCGTGGCGCTGTGCGATGCCGCGGCGGTAGGCCTCCTGCACCATCTCGACCGACGCTGTCGTCAGCTCCTCGATGCTCATGTACTGCTTCTTGTGCCGACGCTTGAACGTGTCGTACAGCGACCTGTGGGCGGTGGACACCACACACAGACAGACAGGCAGAGAACAAGTCTCTCTCTGTGTGTGTTGTGGAGCGAGAGAGGGGTGTGAGTGGTGGGGGGTTGAGTGTCACTGACTGACCGTGTGAGGGATTGGACATGGGCGTTGAGGCTGAGCGACTTGCGCAAGTACGTGGCCTTCCACTTGGAGAATGCCTTGTTGGCCTCGAGGTGGAGGAGCTTCTTGGTGAACGAGTCGACGAGCTCCTTGTCCTTCTTCCTCTGCTCAAACTCGGCCTTGAGCCTATCCATGGCGAACTGCGTGTCCTTGAACACCATGCGATTCACACACTTCCTGCAGGCATGTAGACAGGACAGACAAGCCGATGGATAGATGGATGGATGTCGTGTGGGAGTGGGGGTTGACCTGATGAGCTCGAACGTTTTGGCGTCTTCGAAGAAGCGCGACGACTCAACCAGCGTCTTCAGGTCCTTGAACTCCTGCGCATAATACACACACAGACACACACACACACGCACTAGACACATCCATCCCACCTCCGTGTGTGTGTGTGTCATAGTAGACAAGTGTGTGTATTTACCTGTTCATTGTCGCAGTAGAGGAGCAGGGGTCTGCCTTCTCTGCCGTTGTCCGTCCTGTCTTTGGGCCTGATCTCCACGCGGCCGAAGGGCTTCTTCCGCACCAGCTTGCCATTCTCGTCAATCTAAATCATCACACACACCACCCACACACACACACACACACAGAGACAGACAGAGGTAGAGGCACACAGACAGAGTGAGCGTGCGCCCGCGCGTGTGTGTGCTCACGTGAGGTATGGTGTTGGGGAAGATGGCGGGTCGCTCCTCGTATTGGAGGAAAGTGTGCTGTGCTCCCGCCAAAGTGTACACCTGACCGCACGACACACACACAGACACAGACATGCACTCACTCGTTGAGTATCGACATGTAAGTTCGTCAGCTGTGCACCTTTGGGCTTGCTTCTCCTTCCTTTTCAAACGCCTCGCGGTACACCCACAACTCACGCCCCTTGATCACCCAATACCTAAACACACGACGCAACACAACACACACACAGACAGATCTACACATCCATCCGTGTGGCTGCGTGTGAGTGAGTGACCTGTCTGCCATGCCGACGGTCCTCTTTTTCTTCTTGCTACAGTACTGACGCTGACTCTCACGACCAACCTGATACTACACACACACACACACACACACACCAACACACACACACAGAGCATCATGGACACATTGGCCGTCGATGGACAGACACAGTGCTGTCTGCCTCGACATGCGTACCTTCTTGCCCGCCGACAGGTTCATGGACCTGAGCCTCATCTCCACGTGGTTGGCCAAATAACCATTGCGCATATACTTGTACTCCTACACACACACACACCGACACAGACACAGACGGTCCGAAAGCATCACACACACGGCACCATCATACCGCTGAACCCCCCTTCCCCTCCTCCCACCCCACCGATGAACACACACAGGCTGTCCTACCTCTTGGCGCATGTCGCGTGTGTGTTTGTCTTTGCTGTCTTTGGCGCGCAGCCCCAGAGACGCCATTATGAAGCTCTGCAGCAGCGGCGACGTGTACGGCTGCACAGCCGCACCGCTCTTGGCCATCTCCTCCGCCAGCTTCTTGAGCCAGTTCTCCTGCACCACGATGGCCTTCTCATTCGGCGATCTCCGAAGCTGCTCTTTGTCGCCGGGGTTTCTGTCAGGCAGCGGGTCGCGGATGCGTTCACTAGGCAGGGGTATCTCAGGGCCGTCGTCGCGCGCCGCCCGGCCGTGACGAGTCGCCATCGAAAATCACAGAGTGCGAAAAAAGCTGTCAGCCGCTGGTATGACGTAGAATGGTCTGCTGAGGCTCCTCCTCGGCCCTCAGGGAACTAGCGTCGGTGGTTTCTCCAGACGATTGGTTCCGATCGCTCAGGTATGTGCGTCGACGAAAGCACGCCGTGGTCGCCGCCCCTTGAGTGGATCTGGCTGCGAGAGGGACCAAGTCCTCTTCGTGCACCCGGGGCGAAGGGAAAATGCGGAACTACTTGCGAGCTGCGAGCTTTTTGGCGAGCAGATCTCAGGAAAGGGAAAACGCCGCTGATCTGGCAATTTGGGAAGCAGGTGAGGGCCAACACACACATCTGCACCCGATGGTGGCGGGAGAACCAACCGCCGCATGCCCTCTCTCCCTCCCTCCTCAACGCCCTCTCTCCCTCCATGTCCTTTGTTCGATTCGAATGCTGTGCGGTTTCTCCATCGCTCTCAGATCAGTGAGTTTCCTTCCCACATCATGATGAAGGTAGCTGACTCGACGCCGAGCGCCATGGATGCCACGACAACAACCAGCCGGAAAGCTGAAGCGGAGGCCGAGACCGCCTCGTTTGACTCGACATCAACCACCGGCAAGAGCATCTCGTGGCAGTTTGGCTCGGGTCTGTGGATGGTGCGGTTCAACCCTGTGATCACTTTCACCTCAATCCTGCTCATCTGGGGGTCAGTGAGGAGGGGGAAAAGAATGAGACAAAGAAGTGAGCGACAGGCGTGGTGTGTTGTGCAGCTTTGTGGCGTGGGCGATGATAAGCTGCGCCGGCATTGAGGAAGGGGGCGAGTGTCCAGCCAACCAGTGAGTGCCGCCTTGATACTATCGAGAGGAGGACGACCATGGGAGGGAGGTTGTGGTGTCGTTGTGTTGGTGTGTGTGTGTGCAGGTACCTGTCAGCGGCCAAGGCGTGGATCACCGCGACCTTCACCTGGCTGTACATGGGCACGCAGGCCGTGTGGGTCTTCTTCCTACTCTACATGTATGTGGTGTGACAAACAGGCACACACACACACACACACTCACACCACACCATTGCCCATCTGAGTGCGTGTCGGCCTTGTTGTGTGCAGCTACTTCAGCAAGTATGGCGACATCAAGTTGGGCAAGGACGACGAGAAGCCCGAGTTCTCAACCGTCTCGTGGGTTCGTTTTTTTTAGGATGGAAGCTGCTGGCGACAGACAAACATGCTCTGCTCTCGCCGTTGTCTTTTCCCTCCCCCCTTGGTTGCGTGTGTGCGTCCATGCAGTTCAGCATGCTCTTCTGCTGCGGTGTGGGCGTCGGAATGTTCTACTTTGGCGTGGTAGGCACAGGAAGAAAAGCGGTGTAGTACGCCAAGTTTGCCGTCTACCGCAACTCGATGTAGGCTGAGCCGATCTTTCACTATGAGCCGTGTTATGGAAACCCCTTCGCCGGGGCGGTGCGACACAACGCTGACGGCAGCGTTGTGCCCGGTACGGGCCAGTGCCACGGCTCGCGCTGGGCAGAGATGGAAGACAACGAGCGGGCGCAGTGGTCCATGCTCATCACACTTTTCCACTGGGTACTGCGGAGGGGGCGGGCTCACATGGCAGGCATTAGACATTCGATGTCGGTGTGGCGTGGTGTGGATGGACAGGGGCTGCACGGGTATGTGGTTTACGCTATCGTTGGGCTTCTCTTGGGCCTGTTGTGTTACCGCTTCGGCCTCCCTCTGGCCATGAAGTCGGCATTCTACCCGCTGATCGGCGAACACATCTTCGGGCCTGTCGGGGACTTTGTGGTCAGTGGCACAGACACACACACTGCCACACAACAATTGTGTATGTGTGTGTGTGTGTGTGTCTTCAGGATATCATCTCGATCATCTGCACCATCTTCGGCGTGTGCACTTCCTTGGGTCTGGGGGTCATGCAACTCAACCAGGGGCTGGCCCGGTAAACAAATACACACAGTGGCTCACGATGGGTTCTGTCTGCCCCCCTCGTAGATGGATGGATGGATGCACGTGTGTTGTGTGTGCAGGTACGAGCCCAATTTTCCCGGCACCCTACAGAATAACGTGATCGTCCTGTGGGTCATCACTGTGATATCGCTCGCCTCATGCGTGTCGGGTACGTCCCACACACACACACACATCTCCACACACATGCCGCGTGGGTGTGACGTTCGTGACTGCAGGTCTGAAGGCCGGCATTAAGTTTCTGTCCCAATTCTGCTTTCTGTTGGGCAACCTGCTGCTGGTCGTCGTTATGTTTTCGGACAACACCTGGTACCTCCTCAACCTCTACACGCAGTCCGTCGGCGTCTACTTCCAATGGGTGAGTGAGTGCGTCAGCCACACACCCGCCCAGACACTCACACAAGCCCAAAACAAGCGGCCGACGTCTGCCTGTCCGATGTGTGTGCAGATCCTGAAGCTCGGGTCATGGTCCGATGCATTTGAGCAGGAGGCCAAATCATCGCCCGACGGCACCGGCGCGCCCCAGGGCTGGATGAACTCGTGGACGATCTTCTACTGGGGCTGGTGGATCGCCTTTTGTCCCTTCGTCGGCCTCTTCATCGCAAAGATCTCCCGCGGCAGGACCATCCGGCAGGTGCTGAACGGAACCATGTCCGCCCCCGTCTTGTACACTTTCTTCTGGTCAGTCAGCACAGCTATCACGATAGATGCGCACTGCACTTGAGGCATCGATCGCTGCACACACGTGATTGATTATCAATCGCTGGCTGCAGGTTTTCAATTTTTGGCGGGGCGGGTCTGCGGATGGAGCGCGAGGCGGCCCGGAATGGCGTCGACTGCTCGACGGAATTCCCTGCGGTGAGTGAGAGTGCATCCCATCCCATCCCACCCAGCAGTGGAGATCGACTCTGTCTGTCTGTCTGCGTGTGTGTGGATGTCTCGGGTGCAGGTGCCTGGGCCAGACGATTATGTGCGGCTGACGTGCAGGGGGACGAATGACATGTGGTTCGACGTCATGGGTACGGCTGGGCTGACTGACACACGACGGACACACACACAGGGAGGGAGCGTGTGATGCATATCCTTGCTTGTGTGTGTGTATATTTTGTCGATCGGTCACCTTGGCGATGCTTCAGACCACTACGTAAGACATACACGCGCTGCAATGCGTTCAGCCGTTCAGCTGTAGATGCGGCTCTCTCCTCTGTCTGTCTGTCTGTCTGTCTGCAGGCCGGTGTGGGCCGATTCTTGTCGGGCGTCAGCCTGGTGGCGCTGACGATCTACTTCATCACGACGAGCGACTCTGGCTCCCTCGTGGTGGACTCTATCAGTGACAACGGCAGCCAGGAGACCACCACACTCACACGAGTGTTCTGGTCACTGACAGAGGGAGCGACAGCCACAGGTGCATCCATCAACAGACCGGTGGATGGATGGATGGATGGACGGCATGTCCCCTCCTTCTGTCTGTGTGTCGCAGCGCTGTTGGTGGCTGGTGGCGAAAAGGCGCTGAGCGCCCTGCAGACGGGCAGCATAGTGACGGGCCTCCTGTTCACCATCATCGTGTGCTACATGTGCGCATCCATGTGGTGAGTGAGTGAGTGAGTTGAGTGCATGAGGCGCCTCACACTCGCAAGCAAACATCCATCAGAGTACTTCTATGAGTGTGTCTGTGTGCTCAGGTGGGTGTGTGCCTACGACAAGGGCGACGTCAGACAGTACCCATGGCAGCAGTGGAAACACGGCCTCACGACGGTCAGGCAGCACCCCACCACACAACACAGACACAGATCGACCTGCACACCAGACCACACCGCCTCCTTCCTCGCTGTTGCAGCTTTTTTACAGGCCGACATGGGGGATGCTGTCGACATTCCTCGTCTACCTCGTCAACCCCGTGGGCGCCTTCTCCCCCATCGCCCACCGCACACAGTCCCGCCTCACGGCAAACCTGTGCCTCATCGGCCTGGCCGCAACTTTTTATGGGTGCTTCGCTCTGCTCATCATACAGGCGGCCGCTGGTGTGCCCAACCTCCACACCATCGCATGGGTCAGTGAGTGAGGGGACGCGTGGATCCATACTCGCCTCTGTGCTGTCATCTTCATCTCTGTCTCTCGCTGTGTGTGTGTAGGCCATCATGTGCTGCACCGGTCTGTTTGGTGCGGTGTGGCGGGCGAAGGTGCGGGAGTTTTACGGGATTGGGGGCGACATGGTCAGCGACTACTTCGCCATGTTCGTCTACCCCTGCGCGGCCATGCAGCTGCGGGACCAGCTGACGCTGCCGCTGCCCAAAAAAAGCGACGACGATGAGGACGGCTCGCCGTCGGATGAGACCACCGACATGAAGGCCGTCTGACTGACTGACCATCATCCATCCCCTCGCCCAATCTCTCTCTCAGCCTCTTTCTTACATGCTTGCCTGTCTGTCTGCCTGTAGGTCGTGAACTCGTTCGTGTCCGTGTGTGTCAGTCTCCCTAGGTAGCTGTGGTGTCTAAACTTTGTTTTTCCGGTGTGTTTTTTGTTTTGTTTGTGAGCTAGATGAGTGAGTGAGTGATAGCGATGCGTGTCGGTAGGTATACGTACGTACAGATCGACCAAGGAAGAGGAAACGGTCCGTCCAGTCAGTCAGTCGTGTTGATCTATCTTGTTTTCCTGTCTGTCGGCGTGTCGATGTGGGTGGGTGGGTGTCCTGCGTACCCGGGTCTCTTTGTCTCATCGGGCGGCAGCCCCCCTGTTGTGGGCCGTGGTTTGCTTTATCGAAGGAATCATCCACTCTTCCTTTCATTCCTGCGCATGTCAATCGTGGAGTCTGTTTGGCCTGATGATGCAACTGTCAATCGCAGAGAGAGGGAGGGAGGGAGGGAGGGCCAGAGAGAGAGAGGAAGGACCCGTGTGGATCGGATCGCTCGCTACGTTTGCTTGAGATGTTTATGGTACGGCAGGTCAGGTAGGGAAAGGGACGAAGTTTGCAGTGTGTGTGTACATGTGCTTACTTGGCATTCTTAATGCGCTCATGTCGTGTCGTGTGGTGTCGTGTCGTGACGTGTCATGCCGAGAAGAGCCAAAGGGGCTGGTTGCTCGTGGCTTGAGGGCCACCCTCCCACACAGCCACCCACTACTGACTTACTGCCTGACTCACTGACTGTCTGTCACCGGCAAGATGACCTAACGCTGTGCTCGCCTACTCACCCACCCACCCACCCACCTGTCTGTCTGTCTGTCTGTCTTAAGAACACATTTGTGCACGGACAAGCGCCGACTGAGGCACTTACGTACCGACGTCCGTGTGGATGTGATGCATGTATGTCTGTGTACATTACATACATGTGTGGAGGGCCCTTGTCTAGTGCCTGCCACCTACCTGCCCATGTTGCCCTGTCCTCGTTCTTGTCCTGTGTCTGTCTGTCTGTCTGTGTGCATTCATTCACTCTGTGGGGGGCCCTTTTTGCCAGAGCTCTCAGCTGCCAGCCAGTGGTTGGAGCTAACTTTTTTCTTCAATCGTGTCAGTCAGTTGTTGACTGAAGGATGGCTGGGTGCCCGTGTAACAACCAAGGTGCAGCTCATGTGAAGAACTGCCTAGCTTGACCGTGCAATGGCCATAGGTTGAGCGTGCAATGGCAGTTCGAAGAGAGAGAACTCATCTTCCTACTCGAGATCTGCCTTCCGGGTGCGCTTGAAGCTCGCAATCGATTCCCCCAATCAGCCCGCCGGCTCTGGGGCTATCTGACTCCATCAAGGTCTAGGAACTGATTGGCGCCGAGACAAACGAGTGCCATCAGTTTCGATCAAGAGCTTCCGCCGCAGGATGTGAGTCTGCAGACTCTCACCTTCCCTGAGCAGCGCCCCATCACTTCATTCAGCAATTGCGGCGGCCGCAGCGGCCGGCGCATCCACAAAGAAGCGAAAGGGTGCTTTCGGCGTGCCCTTGGATGACGAGCAGCCCCTTCCCTCCTCCATACTCGACGGCGTCACCACTGGCCGCATCGAAGCCAACCAGCTGGTCTGCAATGCGCAATCGGCACTTGAGGACAGTGTGCGAGGGGCTCTGGCGGCGCGGACGGCAGCAGAGGGCAAGATCAAGGCGATAGCAGAGGAAATGCAGCAGATGATTAGCGAGAAGGGCGGCACTTCCGAGCCTCAGCACACCAGCGGCACACTCATTCTCAACGTCGGTGGCACCGTCTTCGAGGTGTCCCGTGCGGCACTGATGCGTCCGTCGATAGTGCGCAAGTACCTGTCTGTACTGCTGCTGCGCTTCGACGCCGCCCTGCCCCGCGACGCAGAGAAGCTCCCATACCTCGAGAGCTGCCCGGCATACTTCCGCTGGCTCCTTAACGAACTCACCTTCGTCGAGCGGGGCCGCAAGGAGACCGTCGAGCTGACGGGCATCAAGGCCGACGACCCATCGTATGCCGAGTACCACGCCCTCTTCACGCGCGAGGTCGGCAGCAGCAGTGATGACGACAGCAACGGCGGTGGCGGTGGCGATGTGCAGATGGGAGAAGGGGAGGGGCAGGGGCAGGGGGATGTTGCGGACCTGTTCAAGGCGTTTGACGAGAGCCGTCGTGCGTACGAGCGTGTGTACGAGGCCCTCAAGGCGGAGAAGGAGCGCATGGCGGCGTTCCTGCGTGCGATGGAGCCGTTCATGAAGACGGACGATAGCGAGGAGGACGAGGTGCTCAGCGTCACCATCCACGGGGACAGGGTGTCGGTCATGCGCCGCACACTGTCGCCTCTCGGCCCCAACAACACACTATACAGTAGATTCTCACCGTAAGCATCGAAACAGGGGGAAGGCACGACAACGGGCGTGGCCAGGGTGTGCTCCTCTGTGTTATTGCTGCAGGACGTATTGGATCGATCGCAGTGTGCGTCAGACGTCCGCCGAGCACCTGCAGTGTATTGTGGATTTTGCGAGGCGCCAGGCTGTCATGGCCGCCGGCCAGAGGGTCGGCCCGCCCGCAGTGGAGGACGGCGAGAGGGAGCTGTTTGTAGAGGACTTGCAGATGGTGAGTTTGGGTGGGTGCTTTTCGGGTGGGTGGGTGTTATCTGGCCTGTGTCGATATTGTGTGTGTCAGTACGGCCTCAAGGACCAGCCCTTCTACCGATGGGGCGCGGGTGGCGGCCTCATCATCACATCGGAGGACCAGCTGGCGTCGGTAGTGGAGTTCACGGGGCGGACGGGCAAGACGCCATCTCTCCTCTACAAGTGAGGAGGCACAGGAAGGCACGTGTGAATGTCTCTGCTACGCTGCTATGGATGTTTTGTTTACGACAGGTCGAGCCGCGACGGTTTTGGCTACGGCAGTCTCCTCGACTGTGTCGGCGACGCCAGCGGTCTGCTGTTCCTCGTGCAGCACAGCGACACACACCGATTCGCAGCCTTCGTGGCCGGCCCCCTGGCACAGCCCGCCGACCCCACACAGGAGAAGGCCACTTCGTGCCCCGTGACCTACTACAGCATCAGCGGGGCATATGACGCACCCACGAAGCTCAACATGCCGGTCGAGCGGAGGCGGGGTGTGATAGTCGCTGGGCGGCAGGGAGCGGTGACGAGCAAGGATGGGGAGCCAGTCGGTAAGCTGGCCATTGATGTGCGGGATACAGCCGTGCTGTGGCTGGGGTATGCGGACCCCGGCCCGGCAGCCGACCTCAGTAGCTGCGCCATGTGCGTCAGCAAGGACCACTTGCAAGTGGGCTACCAAGGGCGGGTGGTTGCGGGCGGCAAGGGCACTTTGGCGGGCGACTTCTTCTTCACCGCGAGCGAGATTGAGGTGTGGGGACTCGCGCAATGAGACATCCAAAAACGGTGAGGCAGGCGACCTGCGGAGGGGAGAGTGTGTGGCACTGATACGCATCGTAGGTGCTCCGTTGTGTGTGTTAGGTCTGGTGTGTGGATCGGTCTGATGGATGATGGCTTGTACCTCACGATCGCCACTCCTCGTGGATGATCCATGTATTGTATCGTCTGTCTGTGGTGGTGGTGGTTGACCGACCTCTTGCATGCCATGTGAGTGAATTAGTCGCCCTGAGCCGCAATCACTCTTACTCACACAGATAGGTAGAGAGGTCCATCCATCCATCCGACCCATCGGTCATCAATCGAAGCACGCTCTCGTCACAGCAGATGTCACCTACGGCTGCGCCAACCCAGGAGAGCGAGACGCTCCTCCAAGAGCACGTCGCTTCCTGACTCGTCGCAGCGCAAGGCGAACATCTGCCGTGTCGACACAGATGCATTGCGTGGACGTAGATTGGCTGGTTCCGATACACGGCGCCTCACATAATGAAGCACCCACCGTCGTCACAACCACACTCACCAGCTGGTATGTAGTCAGGGGTAGAGAACCATTCACTCACTGGTCGGCCGTGTATAAAAAGACACACACACCACCGGTCCACACACCATCACGTTGAGAAAGTCATCATGCCTGTCATGTGAGGTGACGTGTTGGATGTGTGTGTGTGTGTGTGTGTGGAGATAAAGCATCTTTGTTGCCAGCCGTCATTGACACACACGCATTGGGTCCGAGACACGCACCGTCAAGGAGAATGCACCTTGATGCTGTTTTAAAATTTGTCTCGTGTTTTTCTCGTGTGGTATGTCTGTCCGTGGGTCAGGTCGGTGTGCCATTCGTGCCAGCCGGGGAGCGAGTAGGCGGTCGACTACAGCTTCCGAATATATAATGGTAGCTCTCTGTGTCAAGCCATCTATCGAATGACACTCGTGCTGTTTTCGATGCATGTGTGACGTGGGGCATGTACCATGTGCGTGAGTCGTGTCGCATCGTGCATTTGTTGCATGGCATGAACGTTCACCTGATCCATCATGTACTCATCTGTCCACTGAGACGGACACTGGCACCTTCACACTCACGCAGCCGCCTCGGACACGCACTCAAAACAGAAGCTAATCCACATCACACCGACTGACGAAGTGTGCAAACACCGCCCACGCACCAACAGGCAACCCAGCCGGACGCACGAACCCTTTTAACCAATGCTATCGCTCTACACACCATCCATGCAGTGCCTCATGTGTACCACGGGTCTATCTCGAATTTCAGCCTGATGCCCCACTCGCCCCCCAGCTCGTCGACGCGCACACGGGGAAGGTCTCCTAGCCTGAAATACAGCGCCTCCTCCACCTGTACACACACACACACACACACACAGCCGACAATCACTGCACCCTCCATCTGTCCGCCTGCGCCCTTACATGTGGGTGCGACTGCGCCAGGAACACGCGGATGGGTTGCGTGGTGACGCGGGGCCGCAGGTACCGCTCGATAAGGGCCTCCAGCGTCATCCCGGGGCTCTGCCGCACTATCTTCTGGCCCTTAAGGGCCTGGAACTCCATCACCACAGGCACCGTCGCCACCGCACCCTCAGGCGCCCGCACAGACGTACGCACAGATAGCAGCACGCCGTCACGCTGCGACGCGGGACTGGTGTCGCCCTCAGCCATTCCTTTGTCAGCAGAGGGCGCCCGGTGCTCCAATATAGGGGGGCGGGGGAGAGAAGTGGGTGAGTCGCCGCTCGGGCCTTGGCGGGGTGCATCGGTCACGTGATGCACACCGTTGACGTCAGGCGGACCTGCGGGCACGCGAGAGCCATCATCAGCCTTGCCAACGGGCGAATCGCCGTTTTGCATCGCCTGCTGGTGTTGCCGTGGCGGCTCTCCTGTCGCCGTATCCCGGTCCAGTGGACCGTCATTGCCGTCCGTCTGGCCATCCATGCCCTCCTCAGCGGCCCCTGATGGCGCGCCATGCTCATCAGCGCTGGCCTCAGCGGCCGCCTCATCAGCCGCCTGAGGGCCGTCTTGTTCATCCTCTTCTGCTTCTTCTGCCGTCGCGTCGTCCTGCATGGTCTCCTGCTCCTCCTCTCCCCCGGCGTCTTCATCGCTGGCCTGGGAAGGCTGCGCAGCCACGTGGTCAGGCTGGTCAGCCTCACGAGCCGCGGCGGGCTGCTCATCCAGGGAAGCGGCCTCGGCAGGGGGAGGAGGAGCGGCAGGTTCCGCTGTCGTTTGTGCGGGTGACGCCCCCCTCGGCGTGTCCTGGCTCGGCCACTCATGGCTGCCGCGTCTCGACTGTGACGACGCGGCCCAAGCTGCTGCCGGCCTGTCCCGCCCCCTCTCCGAGATGCCCATGTGCCGCAGCACCCCGTCCTTGTTGACGAGAGGCGACGGCTGCTGACCCGGCAACATGTCCATATGTCCGTACCGCTCACCCGCACCGTCCACCGCCTCACTCACGCCCTCGTTGGAGCCCCCGCGCCGCATCCCCGGCCGGTGACTGAGCTGCGCGCGGAGGTCGTCCTCCGTTGTGACGATTCGCTTCCTCGGCGAATCGTAGAAGATGCGGCGACGGTCTCCTTGGTGTGGGGAGGGCACCGATGGGAAAGCACTAGCGGCGGGGCCGGTGCCGAAACGCTGCCCTCGGGCTTGCTGCTTCATGACCTCCGAGTTGGGGATGAGGGACAGCCTGGGCTTCTTGCTGACAGTGAAAGGAAGATCCACACCAGATGGTATGGTGGGCGGCCTTGCGGTGTGTGGTGTGCTGTGCGCATCTCAGCTTACTTGTCGTCTTGCGAGTCGTCGGCAGCATCGTTGCTATGCAGCGGCGGGGCATAGTAGCTGAATCCGCCCTCCTGCTGCTGACCCTTACATACAGCCAGACCATACCACACACCACACACCACAGAGTGTATCTCAGCATGCACCTTCATGCTTGTTGCTTGATTCCTAGCTGTCACGCTCACCACACCTGTGAGCGTTGGTTCCTGTTGCCATCCCTTTTGCGCTTGTTGCCTTGTCTGCTGCCCTTCTTCTGCTTGGTCATTGCCGCAGATCAACACCATCAGCAACCACGTTGCACATTTAGGTCCTCAATCAGCCGCCAGAATGGGTGTATCGTCGCGGCGATGTTCGTCTACTCACCCGGTTCGACGGCCGTACGTACACCCAAGGTCAGAGCGCCAAGTGACTCACATCCAGTGAGTAGCGAAGAAATGGGCAGCCAAATAGTTTGGTGGACTGCTCGATACGTCTCAATCGCGTACAGAGAGGACGGACGCTTTGCCCAGTTTCTGAGGAGTTGGCACCGGTTTCAGGCAACCCTACGCACAAGGAGCGAGCTGAGAGCAAACAGATCCATCTCTCTCCTCTCACGTTGAGAGGTTGAAAGCGAGCGAAGGACGTGCATGCAGGACTTGAGATCCGAACCATTTGTGTGAGATACATGTCATCTTCTGGCCTCTTCGCTCGCTGGCGGTTTGTTCTGAGCGGCTCTGTGCTCCTCTTCGCCCTGCTGGTCCGCTTCGTCGTCAGAGACCTCCACGGCTACGACGAGAAGCGTGGCACCTTCAGCAACTGGGATGGGGAAGTCACTTTCCGCCCTCTGGTCTATCTGACGCCACACAGCGAAGAGGAGCTCGCCGACTATGTGCGCCATCGCTACGAGCAGGACGGCTATGCCTCCATCCGCGCGGTCGGCACAGGGCTTTCCTGGAGCCCGTTGTGTCACACTAACGACACGCTGGTGTCGCTGGATCAGCTGGATCGGGTGCTCGGCGTGGATGAGGCGGCGGGAACGGTCACGGTAGAGGCTGGGGCGAAGATCACCGACCTGACCAAGTACCTGACCAAGATGAACATGGCGCTGCCCAACACAGGAGTCATCACGGCACAGTCAGTTGGCGGTGCGCTCTCGACCGGCACGCGCGGCACGGGGCTGGACGTGCCCATTCTGTCCATGGCGGTCTTGGAGCTGCGCATGGTGATTGGCAACGGCACCGTTATCTCCTGCTCAAAGGATGAGAACCCCGACTGCTTTGCTGCTGGTCGTGTGGGGCTGGGTGCTCTCGGCATCATCACGTCTGCGACGCTGCAGTGCCGCAAGAACCCCCCCGCCATGAAGAGGCAGAAGACCTTCCTTCACGTCGACGAGGCCATGGCGCGGCTGCCTGCTATGATTGCGAGTGCGTCTGAGGGCCGTGTGACGGTCTCGGCATTTCCTGGTGGCAACTCTTCCCACGTTCTCGTGACGACATGGAACGCCGTGGACGGGCCTGTCCGCAGCCACAATGCGCTTGAGGCGATCATCCTGTCGGCACTCCGTCGGCTGACCTCCCTGGTCAACCAGCTGCAGCCGTACGTGCCGGGGTGGTTCGAGCACCTCCAGATGTGGGCCGCCACTAAGGTGATTCTCGCGGGTGACCAGGGCGACACTCTCGAGTGGCATGACAGCCTCCGGCTGTTCCCGGTGCCCATCCTGCCGTGGATCGACAGCGAGATCGAGATGCACATGCCCTCCGAGGCCGGCACGGAGGTCTACCCCGAGATGCTGGCCCTGCTCAGCCACCCCACTGCGTTCAACTCTCGGTGGAATTCCGTCCTCTACATGCGCTACGCGGCAGCTGACGACATCTGGCTGTCGCCCTGCTACCAGCGGAAGTGTGTGTCGGTGCTGCTGTCGCTCTCGTGGAAGAGGGGTGTCTTCATGGATGTGGCGGAGAGGGTGCAGCGAGACCTGAGCGAGCGATATGGGGCCAAGCCGCACTGGGGCAAAATCAACACGATGTTTGGGAATGACCTGGGTCGTCTGTATCCGCGATGGGACGATTTCTGGTCGCTGCAGCGTGAGCTGGACCCCAAGCAGCTCTTTATGAACGACTATCTGAGACAGCTGCGGGACGGTGGATGAGTTCGCAATGAACGGATGGTTGGATGGATGGATGGATTGACATGTGTGTGGGTTAGCATTTGTCCACTTGAGCAGAGAGACGTGACGTCACAGACTAGATGTTGGGTGTCGGGAAGGACGGAAGGGTGTGTGTATATTGTTGTAGTTCTCTGATGCGGTCACTTTTTTTGCATCCGGATGCTTTGTGGTCATCATGCTGTCATCGATGATGTGATGTATCTGCAATCCGCACGCAATTGCAAACATCCGTTTTCCCCCTCACCCTCCACGTCACCAACACATGTCTCAGGCCATCTTCCATCATCGAATGATGCAGAAGATGCCGTCAGACACGCCACGGTGATGGGGAGGGAGAGCGGGAAGGAAAGACAAGCAGCTAGTAGATACGATACAGCCGTACACGTGACACCATTCCGCCACCCCTTTCCACCCACCCTCCCCCGGCACCCCTTGGATTAAAACACGTGGCTGCCCTGCCCACCCTTCTTGACAGCACAAGAGAGAGAGCATGGCAGTCAATGTGTGTATGTACAGGCAGACCGACCTCAGCGGGCGATACGAGACAGACACCTATCAACAACACCACAGCACACGACACGACCGGGTGGCACAACACAACACAACTGAACACAAGACAACACGTACAGCAAAATAATATACAGTCTATCGTAGGGAGGCACGGCATCATCAGCCGAAAAATTCACATACATGCCAAAAAGGGTGGGTGAAGAACGAATGAATTAGCACAGGGTGTGTATGGTATGGTAGGGGTGGGCACCACGTGTTAGTCCATGTAATTATCAGCTTCTCATGACTGACTGACAGACAACCCAGACAGACAGACAGCATAAGACAGCAGGGAGGCAGGCAGGTAGCAACAGCTCACTTAATCTAGCTTCACGTATGCATGACCAACACAGTCAGAGACACAGGCAGGCAGGCAGGCAGGCAGGGGTGCCATTCCGCTCGTGACCATGGATTTGGTGAGCGGGTGGCAGGCAGGCATAGAGTGAGTGTTGATTGGAAAAGAAGGCGCTCAGCAGCATGGCTCACTCACCCTACCCCGGCATGGCATGTACGCACATATGCAGCCAGACAGACAGCCTCACGTACTGCGCGTGCATGCTGCGGACGGTTCCCTGCTCTGCACATCCAATACAATCCAATGCAACCCCCCTCTCTCTCTCTCTCTCTCCCTCTCCCCCCCAATGGTTACTGTTACACAGCCTGTCCGTGTGTGTGAGTAGGACTACCGAGGAAGAAACACAAGAGCATCATACTTACTGTACACAGTCCTCTGCCCTCGCTCGACCGCTCTGGGCACGTGACGCGATATACGTCGTGGCCTGGCATGATCACTGGCTGATGGGCAGGGCAGCCACAAGCGACGCGACAGGCGATCGAGCGAGCGAGAGGACCAACAATGACAACGAACAGAACACGGCATGCAATCAATCAATCAACCAACCGCACATTCCCACATTCACAGGTCCATGCATCCATCCATCCATTGATGGATGAAGCAAGAAAAATGCGCGTTCCCTTGACGCGCATGCTGTCGTCCTTCGTCCCTATCATCCTCCCTCCTGTCTCTGCGGCTATCCACAATGTTTCCCATCCTTGTCGGCCGACAAAAGGTCAATCAATGCAGACAGACCACCACAGAAAACAAGGCAGGCAAGGCGAGCGGGGTGGAGGGTGGGGTATGTGGGGGGGGGGGGGGGGG